TGGAGGTTTATTAACCCATGTATGCTGTGCGTGCTTAGTCGCTCAGTCGTGTCCAACTCTCTGTGACTGCACAGGCTGTAGCCCACCAGGCTTCTCTGTCCACGGGAATTCTCCAAGCAAGAATACTGGAGTGCGTTGCCATGACCATCCTCCTAGGAGATCTTCCCAACTCTGGGATTGAACCCAGGTCTCCCACATTGCAAGTGGATTCTTTCCAGTCTGAGCCAGCAGGGCAGCCCCAAGGTTTAAACTATACTGTCCACTGAAGACTGAGCTGCTTCATCATAAGCAGAGGTTGAATATCTTTTAAGTACACTGTAACAAACCCCCGATGAATGAATACCATTCAAAATTCTAGATGAAAAGATGCTACTATGATCCGTATCGTTATTCATCCTACATTATTTACTATGTGAAAAGACTTTTAAGTTATATAAACATATTTTAAATGTTAAGTAGTTTTTTTTTTAAAGAAGGAAACTGATAAGTTTATACAGTTCTTTAAAACGTTACTTATATCCTACTGCCCAACAATTACTTCAGTGAAAAGGATACACTGGCAGGCACCTAAATAATTTCACTATAAAAAACTTCCATCTTAAAAAAAAACAACCTTCCATCTTCCTTGATATCATATTATCAAAAAAAGCAGCTGTGTTCATAAATTTGGCACTCCAGTGACATCTTGTGACCAAACTGATCAATTACATGTTTAAGACTTCAGAAAGCAAAAAAAACTATTCTCAAAACAGTAGTCTTTAAATAAACTTTTTAGTCTTTGCCTCCAACATATATATTTATTAATTTTTAATTAACAAAATATATAAGTAGTGTCTGAAAACTGGTAGTTGTAACAGGAATATAAGTACACTGCTGAGCACCAAAGAACTGATGCTTTCCAACTATGGTGCTGGGGAAGACTCTTGAAGAGTCCCTTGGACTGCAAGGAGATCAAACCAGTCAATTCTAAAGGAAATCAGTCCTGAATATTCACTGGAAGGACTGATGCTGAAGCTCCAATACTTTGGTCACCTGATGCGAAAAGCCATCTCATCTGAAAAGACCCCAATGCTGGGAAAGACTGAGGGCAGGAGAAGGGGCCAACAGAGGATGAGATGGTTGAATGGCATCACTGAATCAATGTGCATGAGTTTGAACAAACTCCAGGAGATAGTGAAGGACAGGAAAGCCTGGTGTACTGCAGTTCATGGGGCTTCAAACAGTCAGACACAACTGAATGAACAACAACAGTATGTACACCACAAATAACAGTAAGATGAACTCTTGGATATTCAACCTCCCACCCCAGGTAAAGAAGAAAGCTTTACTCCAGATTCCTTTCTTTATGCTGAAATTACAAGTCATTCCTATTATACATCAGGACTTTACATGCTTTTCTTGTGTCTTCTCCGCCTCAGAGGTAACCATCAGACCAACGTAAGTTAAGCATTCTTTTTTCTTTACATAAAATCTGACTCCCTATACATATGTATCCCTCAACAATACAGTACAATACATGGTTTTGAAAACCCAGAAACAAGAAAAGACTTAGCTGTGTAAGGACAGGCCCACCAATTTTTACCATGCCCTCTTCTTATCCCTCTGAACAGGAACACTTTCTTCTGTCTCATTTTTGCCCTTCAAAGGCCCAAACCAAGTTCTACTTCCTCCAACTACTAAAGCTCCCAAGGAATTGTTTTCTCTGGGGTAATGCACTTATGGCAGAAAGTGAAGAAAAACTAAAGAGCCTCTTTATGAAAGTGAAAGAGGAGAGTGAAAAAGTTGGCTTAAGGCTCAACATTCAGAAAACTAAGATCATGGCATCCAGTCCCGTCACTTCATGGCAAATAGATGGGGTAACAGTGGAAACAGTGGCTGACTCTATTTTTCTGGGCTCCAAAACCACTGCAGATGGTGACTGCAACCATGAAATTAAAAGACACTTACTCCTTGGAAGGAAAGCCCAACCTAGACAGCATATTAAAAAGCAGAGACATTACTTTGCCAACAAAGGTCTGTCTAGTCAAGGCTATGGTTTTTCCAGTGGTCATGTATGGATGTTGAGAGTTGGACTATAAAGAGAGCTGAGCACTGAAGAATTGATGCTTTTGAACTGTGGTGTTGGAGAAGACTCTTGAGAGTCCTTTGGACTGCAAGGAGATCCAACCAGTCCATCCTAAAGGAGATTAATCCTGGGTGTTCATTGGAAGGACTGATGCTGAAGCTGAAACTCCAATACTTTGGCCACCTGATGCAAAGAGCTGACTCACTGGAAAAGACCCTGATGCTGGGAAAGACTGAGGGCAAGAGGAGAAGGGGACAACAGAGGATGAGATGGTTGGATAGCATCATGGACTCGATGGACATGGGTTTGGGTAGATTCCGGGAGTTGGTGATGGACAGGGAGGCCTGGCGTGTTGCAGTTCATGGGGTCGCAAAGAGTCGGACACGACTGAGCGACTGAACTGAACTATCAGTACTTTTACTAGATCGGAAGAAGTTATTTTCTTAATTTAAAAGAAATGTGCTTTTTCCCTCTTTCTCCTACTCCAGATTCCTTTCTTTTATGCTGAAATTACTAATCATTCTTATTGTACATCAGGAACATGCAACCAAAGTACTATAGGTAACAGTATTTTGGCATTAACGGCCATACTAAACTTCACAGGATGTTGTTTAAAAAAATTTTTAAAGGCACTTTCTAAATATCAGCTTTCTGGTTTACACAAGTTCCTAACTTACATGGATACTGTTTCACAAAGTCTTAATTATATTTACTACTTTTGAGAAAAAGTTATAGACTTCTGCCCTCCTTTCACTCCTGAATCTGATAAGAGTGCATACCAGCTCAAGTTGAAAACCATGTTCAATTATCGTAGAAATTGAGTACTGGATAAGCTACATGCATAAAACGTTACATTAACATGTAAAGTTTAAGAAGTATATGGCCACCTTAAATGGTAAGATTAAACTCTTTCCAAGTCATACTCCCTACATAGCATGTGCACATTACAAGTATATAAACTATCAAAGGAAATCTGGTGGTCTAAGATATATTATTGAACCAAATCCCCACATGACGTTAGCACATACAATGTAAGATAAAGAGATCATTGATGGAGGGAGTGTCTGGAAACACCTCCAGAGTGTTAAGCTGCACCAAAGTGGGTATCAAAAACACTGACTTAAGGCAAGACCCACTATATACCATAAAAAGAACTTTAGCACTCTTACTTCCCAAAAAAGCTAATGACAACTTTAAGAAATGCTTTTTGGTCAGTTGAGAATCTAATTACAAATTCTAATTTGCACACGAGAGGTAGTAACGGGGCAACAATGGCAGTACAACACAAGCAGGACACAAAGACTGCTTAGGCCAATGATCTCCAGAGAACGCAGAAATAAACTGTCGGGGTACAGTTAGAAGTTATTAACACTTCTATTTTCATCTAAAAAATCATATTTGCTAATTTTTAACACATAGAGTTAATTATTCATACTCTCACTGAGCCTCTGTAAATAGCTATGGTTTGCCAAACAGGGGGAAGGCTCATGTAAAGAGGGCTGACAGTGTTCTGAGCACTGTGACAGTCTTGGTACATGCTGAGTAAGTACCTAGTTTTAACTAAACAAACTTTCATCAAATGGGTAAAGTAATTTTAAGATTTCCTACAATAAAAAAACTCGAATTGAACACAACACCAACATCACAAGCACAAAGAAAGAAAAAGGGCCACATTAAAGTTTCTCTTACTCAATGAGGTAAAAAGAAAACTTATTAACAGATCTACCAGGAGGAGGAGGTTTCGTCACTAAGTCGTGTCTGACTCTTGCAACCCCATGGACTGTAGCCTGCCAGGCTCCTCTGTCCATGGGATTCTCCAGGCAAGAATACTGGAGTGGGTTGCCATTTCCTTCTCCCATAGTGTGGGCCAAAAAAAACTCTCAAAATTACCAGGACAACCTTGTGAAAATTTATGTTCTTTACCAAAAAGAAGGAAGAATGAACTATGCCAGAAGTGTAAAGTACTCATTTATTGCTCTATCAGCTAGGTTTGGAATATGTGTATTTATGTTTCAAATAACATGCAAAACAATCTTTTACTGATACAAGGACAACTTCATAATAAAACTATTACTTTAGAAATTCCACTGATAAGTGAGAAAAATGACATCATGTTAATTACTAATCTCTGATAACCTCCAAATGTTTTTGAAAGGTACTCTAAATAGTAATATATTTGGACATGAAATGAAATGAGCATAAATATACATAGAAGCTATGTTTTATATAATAGTAGAAAGGAAGAGCAAGGTAACTCAGGTCCTATACTCAAGGAGTACACTATCTAGTAGGTTAGACAAATACACAAGCAGCTTTAAAATAAATGCAGTCATCAGTGCTATCAACAGGGAGCTGTTCCTTTGTATGGCTGCACTTCCTGTCTCCTTACAGTTAGGGGAGGCTATGTGACTTTCTCTGAACAATGCAGCCTGAACCACACATCACTTCTGAGCAAAAATTTAAGAGCCCAGGTGATCTTTATACCTTTCTTCTCTTTACACTAGTGACTGACAATACTCCAGATGGTGGCAGCTCCATCTGCCTGGCTGCCAAAGTGAGAATGAAGTGGTCTGTGACTGAGTTACAGCATGAGTGAAAAATGAGCTTCTGTTTTAAGCCACTGAGGTTTTAGGGTTGTTTGTTTCCACAGCTTAACCTAGCCTATCCAGAATAAGATAGCATGAAATAATTTTGACAAAGAATGACAGGAGCTCTAAGGAAGTATACATAATTTCAGTCACACCTGCTGTCTCATTAAAGGTGATGAAATTTTAAAAACCACCATTTTCCCCATTTAGTAACTAATCTGCTCTCAATTTTGCCTACCACTAAACAAATTTGTGGCTATTTTGTCCAAGTTCCTTTCAAAAGGATTTTAAATTTTTACAAAAATCTTTCCAAGAATTCAATTTTCAACTTACACACAGAAGCTTACCGCTAAGTAATTCAATCCAGTTCTGGACCGTTTCTGGAGGCTGAGTCTCCTTAACATGCTTCAGAGCTTCATCAAGAAGAACATCCCCTGTTGGAGCATCTGACTTACAAATCACCTACAATGTAATCAGTAAGAATTACATGATCTATTTGATCTCTTTAGATAAAAAAAAAATTATGTAAACATTTCACCATGTTTAAAACTCCAAGTGTTCATGCAGTTATCAAAGTTCAGATTTTAAATTAATTCCATATTAAGGAAATCCAATATTTAACCTAACCAGATTAGCCACAATCATAAATGAAAATACAACGTAAATGAAAATGTGCCTTAATGAGTAAAGCAAAATGGTAGAAGAGTTTATACTCATTGCAATTCCCTTCACTGCTAAACCTTGGGCTATCTGATACAGAAATTCACTTTTCAAACATCTATTAGTTACGGAAACAGACTCAATTACATATCAGAATTTGGTATATAATAAAGGTGACATTTCACATTACTGGAGCAATTAATTTTTCAATAGACATTACTAAAACAACTGGCTAATAAATTAGAGGTAAAAAGTAAGACTTGGCTCCTCAGAGTTTATACCACAATAAAAAGTAGATTTAAGTATGAAATATAGTTGAGAGAATGAGAAAGTCTTCTCAAAACTATGACAACCAGCAGAAACCCTGAAAATACCAATAGGTTCGATTACATAAAAATTTTAAATACTACAAAACATTAAGCAAAGATGGATATAAAATCCACTTGAAGAACAGAACAATCCAGGGACTTCCCTAGTGGTCCAGTAGTTAAGATTCTGTGCTTCCAATGCAGGGGACGTGTGTTCCACCCCAGGTCAGGAAACTAAGACCCCACCTGCTGTGTGGTGCAAAAGAGTAGAAAAATCCAGACGTAGGGGATGACAGAAGAAAACACTACACTGCTTTAGAGTTTTTTAAAGCCTTCCATAGCACTCTTGGGTAAACAAATCTCTAGCTGAAATTCTGTAATATCAAAGCTTAATTTGTTATATTATTGATACTTTGTTAACTATTAAAACTAATTTAACAACACTATTTTTTAAATGGGAGTCTTCTTGAAAACTTGGCATTGACAGCATGTCCTTTCCTCTTTGACCAATCTTAGCACACTACTGACTGGGGGATTTGGCAAAAACTGACTCCTGTGGCAAGCTATTTGATGTGTAAGTGAATATTGAAACATCTCTGGTCAGTAACGTTCAGGTACAAAAGACTAATGTATCAATATGTCTCTGGTCAATAATGAGCTATAAAAGGTTAAAGAAAATACAGTATCTATTTTGGAGACAACATGACCCAATGGAAATATAATTAGAGCCAGAAATACAAGCCACAAATCTATTTTTAAATTTTTTAGTAGTTACATTTAAAAAGAAAAATAAGTACAATTAATCTTAACATATTTGATTTAACCCACCATAGCCAAAATATTGACATGTGATTATTTCACATTCTTACTTTTCCACAGTAAGTCTTCAAACAGCCAGTGTGTTTTTATTTACAACATGTCTCAATTTGCATGAGCCACATTTCAAGTGTCTAGTTCACAGACATGTGGCTAGTGGCCACCATACTGGACAGAGCAAATAAAGAACACTTTCATTATCACAGAGAGTTTGACTGGAGAGTGCTATTCTGGGCCATGCTTGTAGTAGGGTGTCAGAATCAGAAAAAATAAAAAGCCCTGGGATAAAAAGTTGTACATCTATATCCTGTGGTCATGCCACCACTTCTTACTTTCCATTAACTCCAGAAATCGACTGCCATCTGGTCTCAACACACCACATGCCCATCATTTTGAGACAGGTGTCAGGATTACAATAAACTGGGTATAGTTGGATATTTTTTCTTAGGTCTGGGATCCATAACATTAATGTAAAATTATTGTAAAATTACTTGTGATTTCTATTACTACTAGTAATTAATGTATATATTTCACTGATAATTAAAAATTCCTAAGGTTTTTGTCCCCCATAAATCTATGGTTGCACAGTAAAATGGAAATAAAAATTATATTCTGCTTTATGACAAATATCTAAAACAGTAATTTCAAAACTAATCTCATGCAAGTTCATTTGACTCTACTTTAAATGACTGAATTTAATTTTAATACTCCATGAGGGAAAAAAAAAAAAATACTCCATGAGGAGTATTTTCTGCTATACCGTGTCTACTGTGTATCTAATTTTCAAAAATATATTCCTTCCCATAGGATTATTATTCTGTCTGGTATATCAATCAAAAAATGTTCAGTTTTCACCCTAAAACATTTTGGATTTCATAACACAATGCATTATGGAAAAAATAGTTTTGAAACACCCTACATCCCCCAAGAAACAATGACAGACGAAGAGAAATGGCCTTGAATATTTTAGGCTGAAATGAAAGTTAAAAATTCTAGAAACTAGTCAATAATACCTATATTAACACAGACCTTAACAATGGAGAGGAGGAGATCTGAAAAGTATTTGTATTCTGGCAAACAGATCAATTGCCTATGGATAGTTAATTTGCACAGTTATCCCTTTTGAGTAGTATGTCAAGTCTTCCAAATCATGGTTTTCAGGAATAGCAAATAAAGTTTGGGAGTCTTTTTGAATATGCAGGATGCAATGGCCAATGATCCTAACAATGAATTACATTACTCATTATGTACAAAGAACCAAAATATCAAAGATTCAAAAAAAAATATATGGAAACATGATTCAATAAAGATTTAAGTTTAAAATCAATTTCTTTAACTTCTGAAAGCTATCAGTAAAACAACATGGTTCTACTGTATAATACAGCAAACTTATTCAATATCCTGTGATAAGCCACAATGGAAAAGAATATAAAAAAGAATGTACAGGACCAGTTCCTCAGACCTATACAAGAGGCTGTCTCCTGAGCTACAGTCTTCAGTAAGGTCCTCAATAAAACTTAACTTCCAACTTAAAAAAAAAAAAACATGTATGTATGTATACATATAACTGAATTACTTCACTATATAGCAGAAATTAGCACAGTGTAAATCAACTAAACTTCAATAAAATAGAAAACTATTAGTAGAAACATTCTTCATCTTTAGGCAGCACAAACTCTTCAAAAAGGCTATGTTATATATATAGGCCCCCTCTTACCTTTCTTGTTAATAGACTTTTACGTCTCATTCCACAAGCCTCTAGCTGTAACCTTCCTCTCAGTGCTAATTCAATCAACATACAGCCACGTAATCCAGATGATATACAGTCATTCCAAAATGATGTGTAACCCTATTTAAAAAAGAGAAAACAAAAGAGTTAATTTACTTTGGAGTCAAGAAAATAAGTATTTTTTAGCCAAAGCTATATCTCATGCCTTTTACCTTTCATATCTTTCTATAATTAAAATCAAAATACTGAAAAAATACAAGTACTATACATTATTAAACTAGGATTTTCAAGAACTTACTTTCTTTTCACCACTTTCTTACACGTAACTTTGGAAGTCACTAAGCTGTGCTAATCAGGCCCTTTCAGACTTCAGGGCTCACCCATTCAATTAAGCTCAGATCATAGTGGTTTATAACATGGGCAAATGAAGAAGCTCAGGAAAAATAATCTAGTCCAATGAGGCCTCATGCAGAATTAGGACATCGTTCAATGCCATTTAGGATAAAAACACAAAGTTAAATTTAGATGAATATATCAGAAAACTTAGGCATGAGGCCATGCCTAGTACTCTGAATAACAAACTGTAAAGCAATCAGATTCCTGCACCTCCCAACACACAACCCCAAGAGAAATTTAAGGGCAACATCCAAAGTGAATAAAAAAGCCGGAAAAATGAGACTGATAGATATTTAGGTATTTGGGAATACTCAAGTGAAAACAGGCACTCTTTGAGCGCTAACAACTGGGTCTGTCCAAATTGCAAAGCCATGAAGAGTTGCCAACTACTAAAGTACTTGACTTCCCAGGTGGCGCTAGTGGTAAAGAATCTGCCTGCCAATGTGGGAGACTCAAGAGACGTGGGTTCAGTCCCTATGTTGGGAAGTTTCCCTGAAGGAGGAAATGGTAGCCCACTCCAGTATTCTTGCCTGGAGAATTCCACGGACAGAGAAACCTGGCGGGCTTCAGCCCACAGGGTTGCAAAGAGTTGGACAAGATTGAGCACTGAGTACTCAATTCTGAAGAGAAATCAGCAGCTGTCACTAGTCCTGTTTAAGACTCAGAATAAGGTAACAGGCAATTTTGGTGGGAGGGAAAACACAAAGGATTCTGTGAAGAAAGGAGGGCCTAGAATTAGGGTTCTGGTACTCTCTTGAGGTCTTGGTACTCTGCCAGGTCACAGTGGGCAGCTTGTATTTTAGACAATGACTGACCATCACGGTCCATGGGACTTCACTTCTGATACAGGAACTTAAAATGATGAAGCTACCACTTCTGAGAATGAAGGCTTTGAGAAAATTTAAGTTTAGACTAAGGGAGCCACAAGGAGATTAACATTAAGAAGCAGGTTTATGGGACTTTCCTGGTGGTCCAGTGGATAACACGCCACACTCCCGATGAAGGAGCCCAGATTCAATCCTTGGTCAGGGAACTAAATCACACATGCTAAAACTAAGACCCAATGCAGCCAAATAAGTGTGTGTTTGGTTGTTGTTTTTTTAGATTTGTTTAAAAATAAAAGAGCCAGACTTCCCTGGTGGAATAGTGGGTAAGAACCTGCCAATGCAGGGGACACAGGTTCGATCCCTGGTCCAGGAAGATTCCACATGCCACGGGCAACTAAAGCCCACACACCTAGAGCCTGTGAGCCACAAGAAAAGTCACCACAATGAGAGGCCCGCACGCCACAGAGATGAGTAGCCCCACCTCATCACAACTAGAGAAAGCCCAGGCAGCGAAGAAGACCCACAACAACCAAGTACTTTATAAATAAATATTCTTTTAATTTATCTAAAAAATAAAGAAGGAGATTTAAATGTGAGGCAGGGGAAGCAGATACTGTTTAGATTTGAGGGGATTCTTTTAAACTTAGTTTTAGGGATCTGGTTAAGTTAAGATCACTAGAGATTAGCTAAGTAGTTAAAAAGACCAGTAACTTACAGATGTTAGGTAAAATCCATAGCTTGTATATCCATCCAATACAATTAAAGCTCTAGGAAGCCCAGAAATGGATTCACATGAAATCAAAGTTTATAGCTATCTGGCTTCAACTGGCCTGGACATACAGATGGGAGTGCCCAGGTGAGCCTCTACAAACTATAAATAATAGAGTACACCTCATAAGACAGTGATGGATGAAATAAAGGACCGTGCCCTGTCTCTGCAGCCTGGAAATTTCTGATGAACAGTACTTATCAGAAACTTAGGAACTTCCCTGGCAGTCCAGTGGTTAAGAGTCTGCCTTCCAATGCAGGGGGTGTACATTCAATCCCTGGTTGGGGAACTAAGATCCCATGCCTCAGGGCAACTAAGCCTACGAGGTCAACAAAGATCCAGTGCAGCTAAAAACAATAAACAATAAAAATTAAAATGATGATCAATTTCACCTTAGAAAAAAGGGAGAGGCGAGAATCTTACATTTGCTAGCAGACAACAAAATACACCTCAACTGCCCTGAGAATAAAGGTATATCCAGAGAAGTTAGCAAAATGGAGTATTTAAGAGGACTTTAAAGATTCACATTTAGTGAATGGCTTTGGGCATTAACATTAAAGACACATGCTTAAACAGAATTGACTTCACGTGGGAAAACAGACAAATGGACATGGACAGTTCTGTAGCAAAGCTTCCAGGATTCATACACAATATTCCAAAGATCAATGAAGACACCAAAACCATACCAAGCAGGCTGACGACACCTGCCAAAATCCACATCATAAAAGTATGATCAGGAATTAAGCAAGTTGCTGGAAGCAGGAGAGAAAGCGGGAATTGTTGTTGTTTAGTCGTTAAGTCATGTCAACTCTTTTGCAACCCCACGGACTCTAGCCCCGCCGGTCTCTGTTCCTGGGATTCTCCAGGCAAGAATACCGAAGTGGGTAGCCATTCCCTCCTTCAGGGGATCTTCCTGACCCAGGGATCGAACCCGCGTCTCCTGCATTGGCAGGCAGATTCTTTACCATTGAGCCATGAGGGAAGCCCAGAGCTGAACAAAAATATTTTATGATCTTACTGGATAAGATGGTGGCAATGCCATCCTTGAGAATTAAGTATATTAGAAGGGAAGCAGTACACTGGAAAGAGCCAACTGAATTTGGTCATGACCGAGGCCAGCAAGATTGTGGAGTGAATCCATGTCACAACACACACAAGCAAAACCACTGAAGCTGGGGCACCAGCTTAGACCCTGCCAAGTGCTAGAGAGCACTTCCATCTTTTAATCCCTAGTGCTAACCTTACAACTACATTTCATTGATCTCCAAACGTAAGTTTAGTGTCTCCATATGAGATGATAGAAGCTAATTAAACTTACTGTGATAATCATTTCACCATACAGGCCTACCTCGGTTTGGTACATATCAGAGCTATCACAGAACTGTTTCTAGACCACAGAAACAAAGCCAGTATCATACGAAGTGAGTCACACAAATGTTATGGTTTCCCAGTGCACATAAAATATATACACTACACTATAGTTATAACCAAAAAGAAAGAAAATGTATACACCTTAGTTTTAAAATTCCTTATTGCTAATTCTAAAACACCTTTAATTTGTAAAACATATGGTATCTGTGAAGCACAGTAAAGCAAAGCACAATAAAAGAGGATATGCCTACAAATGTAAATTAAACCATGACACTACGCCTTAAATTTATACAGTGATTATGTCAATTATTTCTCAATAAAACTGAGGGGGAGAAGTTGTATCTCTGGTATTGGGATGCATTTAAAAATAGATTGTATCTTGAAAGAAATACAGTATTATAGCTACTAAGTTAACCTAAACCCATGGAAGAGAGAACAGACATGTGGTACAGGCCTCACAGGTGCATAGCAGTGGAATGAAGAACTAGAGTCTAATTTGTCAGTTACTGGGAGCCTTAAAACTTGGTACAAGACTGGCTGACTCAACATCCAAATCTAGGCAGACCACCAATCTACATGACTTCTCAGTGCAAAAGACTTCACCACCCACTCCAGTGTTCTTGCCTGGAGAATCCCAGGGATAGGGTCGCACAGAGTCGGACACGACTGAAGTGACTTAGCAGTAGCAGTAAAATAAAAATTAAAAAGAAAAAACTAAAAAGAAAAAAAAGACTTCACCAGAGCAGGTAACACCACACCACACTGGGGATTTGTCCTCAGATAAAACACCACTCCTGAAACAATTCCAAGGACCTGTGGTCTAAACAGGATGGTTATATATCCAGGGCATGAATGTGATTTTGCCCTAGGAAAAAATCTTATACCATATCTGTCAAAAGGGCAGCTCAGTTCAGTCGCTCAGTCGTGTCCAACTCTTTGAGACCCCATGAACCGCAGCATATCAGGCCTCCCTGTCCATCACTAGCTCCTGGAGTCCACCCAAACCCATGTCCACTGAGTCGGTGATGCCATCCAACCATCTCATCCACTATCGCCCCCTTCTCCTCCTGCCTTCAATCTTTCCCAGCATCAGGGTCTTTTCAAATGAGTCAGTTCTTCACATCAGGTGGCCAAAGTACTGGAGTTTCAGCTTCAGCATCAGTTCTTCCAGTGAGTATTCAAGACTGATCTCCTTTAGGATGGACTGGTTGGATCTCCTTGCAGTCCAAAGAACTCTCAAGAGTCTTCTCCAACACCACAGTTCAAAAGCATCAATTCTTCAGCACTCAGCTTTCTTTATAGTCCAACTCTCACATCCATACATGACTACTGAAAAAACCATAGCTTTGACTACCCTAGCTTAATCCAAAAACAGGGTACTAGCACTCAAAGTTCAGGGTCACATGAAGGAAGAACCACTGGCCAGGCAATCAACTTAGTAACAAAGCAGCAGCACTGCATTAGGAATACCAGTAGCCACAGGATCTTGAGGATGGCCCCTACTCACTGCAGAAGACTCAACTTCTGGGTCCTGATGGAGGTTAGAGAACCACAAAAAAAAAAACTATTTTGGGGCCCTACACATTTAAGATTAGGATCAGAATCAGCTATTTCTAAAATTTAAGAATGAAAGAGGCAGAGATATGCCAAGTAGAGGTGGATCATATACAACCCCCACAAGAATCCAGAGAAACAGTATTTCATTAGGCATGGGTCCAAAACAAGGGGAAACATTCAAGAACAGATGGTCCCATGAA